CGAGATATACCGCAGATGTTTTGAACTACCAAGTCTAGCATCATACCTCCAGCATCGCCGATTGCAATGGGTTGGCCATGTCCTGCAGATTGGTCACGAACCCCTTTCATAGTGCAAACTGGAGATACCGACAAGGTGGTCAACTGAAGAAGACATGGCTCAACACCGTCAAGTCGGAGGTCGAACGGATGGGTCTCGTAACCGTTTACGGCTTGCGACACTGGAACAAACAATGGGTTAATATCTGCGGGAAGCTCGCTTCCGACCGCAGCCAATGGGCCGTCGCTATCCGTGAAGCCGATTCATCCAACAACAGGAGCTAATCGGACCATGTACAAGTAGTAAATAGCTGCTACAGCTGCTGTCAGGGCTCCAGCAATGAGGCCCCCAAGGCAAAGGCGGAGCGGGACAAGTGAGTTCCGTTAGTGGTTAGTGAACGTTCGTTAACGAGACTGACAACGCCTACTGAACGTGACTATGTTGGGTTACCGGTTTGTTTTTCATTGCCAAACTCTTAGAGCAAAAAAAAAAACAAGCAGAAGAGAGTTTATGCATGAGAACCAGGCAGGGAGCAACTAACCCTCGTGGATCTTTCGAATCAACGGCAGGGCCTTCTTTTCAGCCTGATCTGCGTTGAATTTCGCTACGATCGTGCAGAAGGCATCGGCAGCTGCCTGGGCAACAACGACCTCCTCCACACAGACCAGAATCTCCGAGATTATAGGCTAGGAGAAGGGGGAGAAAAAAGAGAGCAGACGAGGTGATGGGGCGGGGGGGGGGCGGAACTAACAACTCTCCTCCTCTAAAAGTCACATAATCGTGGCAACATAAGAAGAGACAAACTAAGCAATTTTTAACCAAAAATTGAAGAAAAAAGATTCGGGGACGAGTAGCGGTAGCAAAAGCAGGCAAGAGGGCTGGCTAAAGACATGTTTCACATTCTACTGAACAGTGCGCTTCCGCTAATTGACGTATTACGGCTGTTTAACTCAAGTATTCCACTCTACAAGGTGTTAAAATGGGAAAGGGGGGAAGGGATGATGGAAAAGATGTGCACGTTTTGTCAACGTCAAAGTCTGTCCTCGTTAGGCATCGTTAGCTAGCTGTACAATGTTTTCAGGAGGCGTTCTTGGATAAAGTTCGTCTAGCAGATGAAATTTAAAAAAAACCACACGAAAAACCGAAATTTGTTGTTGAAGAGAGAAATTATATTTGACTTCGCATGTTTTTTGCAGGATGTTTACCTCCTCACTGGCCACTGACTAGAACCGGAAACCCACACCGTATAGATAGATGGTTAGAGAAGAACAACAGGAATCCTTTTTGGAGGTCACCGCAGTATGGGAAGACGGGCTCAGACTATTAAGCGTGTTCGCAGGTACGACGTGTTTACAAAAAGGCTTGCTGAGAGACAAGTCGGCCGGCAGGTCTGGCGAATAAGCACCTGCGAACGGT